GTGGTGGATTCAGTCGTCACAATCCGCGCCGTTACAATAAGGAGAGGTAGATAAGAGAGATGAAGGGACAATAGGGAGAAAAAGCAAGCACATGGAGAAAATAACCAAAAGTGGAATCAAAAAACACTATATAAGCCAAGTGGTGAGGGAAAGGGTTCCCAGCAAGAAACAAGGCAGCGAGCACAAGAGTGATTTTGAGGTTCAGCTGTTGTAAGGCAGGACAAAACACGTGAGAGGACGCGGCAGCAATCTGTTCACAAGGACACATACTGGCTATGTATATCATGCCAAATAGAAAAAAGGAAAAGTTTCCATTTTTGTCAGTGTATACCCTGGTAGCACTCGTTCTGTAACAACCGTCCAATCATTGTGGCATATTTTCTTTGTGTTTCGTGAAGTGGATAAAATACGATCATCTCCAAGTCACAGTTGGCTAAACAGAACGCTAAAATGTAACTAAGGAAATCATAACGCGACATTTATAACAAAACCATTTGTACTATCTCTTGTTCATTTATGTTTCGCTGTTACAAAAAGTTATTTTCGGTTAACTGAGGTTCCACAGTGCACTCGAGCTTTTGTTGCATCAGCAAACGTGCGGAGAAAACGGTGATTCACAACGGTTTCGTTGACATGGGTAGACTAAAACGATTTCTCTTATGAAGACCGTCGACTCAGAAACATGATAAACGGAGAAGGACGGGATAGCATTGTGCGTAGTACAAAGGCGTGAAACGGATGAACGGAGTGTGCCGCGCGAGCAGTTAGGTGTAGGTTCGCATTGGTATGACCGTGGTATTGTGATTAGTCGGTGTTGTTCTCCCCCATCCCTACAGGACGGGTTTCATCTCCGTGTGGACTCATCAGGCAAAGATAGCCTGCGTTGGGAGTGAAATTCGTCACATAGTGGATGACGGATATCGCCATGATCATTAGGCCATTGAGCTCCGTGAACAGAGTTTGACAGAGTGGTTGGAAGTTGATTTTCGGATTTTGGAGTATCCGCCGTGGACCATTGATTGCTCGGTTGACTTTGGAGTCAGCCTCTACCAATACGATCACCGGGAACGCAACCGAAGGGGAGGGTTTCGGTGTGGCTCTCTCTCTCTCTCATTCCTGCACTCCACGACCGACGGTTTCGTCCTGGTTTGGATTCGTCAGATAGAGATAGCCGAGCTGGGAGTGGAACTCGGCGCAGAGTGCTTGGCGGCTATCGCCGTGGTCACTAGGCCATTGAGCTCCGCGACACAGCTGTTAGAAGTCGATTTTTGGGTTTTGGTGTACCCACAATGTGCCATGGATTGCGACACGAAATCTCAATCACTGGGACTATATCCTAAGTGGAGAGTGTCAATGTTGCTCTCTCTCTCTCTCTCATTGTACTCTACGACGCGTTTCGTTCTCGTTTTCGCTAAAGAACGGGTTACATCCGTTAGCCGTATCCTCGCTCCATAATCATTATGAAGTAAACATGGAAGAGGAAGGGAAATGTGTTGCCAAAGAAATCGGCTCGCCAACTCACATGCCAATTTTATTCTCCTCGAATTAGTCATGCCATCGGAGAATGGAACAATCAATCGCGTGTGCGCCTGACAGGCGGTGAGGCGTGATAGTCAATCACGTCGGCCATGTCAGATAAAGACCCCAACGATTGACACGGTCGAATCCGAGACTCTCATTCAGTAAATTGTCCGATCAGAATGTGAATGTCAATTTATCATGTCATCTACACTCAAGATGTAAATTGAGCCTGCTGGATCTGCAAGCGTTACAGGCCTCGGACGTGTGAGTTTAGCGTCTGCAATGGTTCCAGTTTGTTCCGAGAGGCATCGCACACATGTGAGCCAACTTAGAGCAAGTGCCAGGAGACAATCACGATCGAAGATAGCACAAAGAGGCAGAAGACTATTGATGGGATTTGTGTCAGCACACCTGGTGCAGCTCAGTGTAGCGAAGTTAGTGCAAATGACCTGATCCGATAGGTCGCTGGTGAGTTGTTGGGTTAGGAAAGCGTGGCATCTGGAATCGAGGCGCCAGTTTGCAAGCGCTTGGTTGGTTTAATTTAATTGAATGCAACAACTATGACCCGAACACCTGTGTGCATTGGTCATACACGGTATCGAGAGGCTAACAATGAGATGTAACAAGCAGCAGGACAGAAAGGATAGGAAACTGGGAATTAAGTGGAGAAAATAAACCTAGTTAGAAAGCTGACAGTTAGATTGAAGGAGGTAGAATTTAGGAGCGCTGCTGACTCAACGACTGTACCATCGTGGATAGGATCTTTCTTGTCAAGTCAAGAAATTGCTTTATGCAACCTGGGCGGCTGAATATTTGACTAAAAACAAGTACTATTTGATGGATACTTCTTAATTTGTTTCTAAAACAGGACCGTTGGAAAATGTACAATTCACAAGCGTAGAAACACCTAGCGATTTCAGAATATTGCGCGAGTTGATTGACATCGCAGAACGAGTGGTGAATAAGAACAAGAACGTTTCAGTAAAAACCAAAAGCAACGTGTGCTGGTAAACTCTACAGGCGGAAATCGTAGATAACGGCAAAAGTTGAAGGCCGCGCCGACACCGGTCAGCGAGGTGGCCCATCCAGAGACCCCGATCCACGAAGGTGGCATGCACTAACCTGATCAAGTATCTTAACCAATTGCTTCAGGTTCTCTGGTACACTATCGATTAGACACCTTGCGGTATTGTGCAACTAGGTGCAGCAGCAGAATATGATGCAAGCAGATAAAAACGATCAAAAGACCTAGGAAAAAGGTGATGCAGCCGATCTAGGCTGTTGAAGTGTCACTATCCAACGTGGCACCCGAAGGTTTTTGGCGAACTTCATTACCATTTAGCCAGTGCTTCCACTGGATATACAGAATACGACACAAGTGCAGACACACTCATGGAGGACGACGCGCTCAGCGTCTCCAGAGCCCCCCAACATTTCTGGTGTAAACAGTTAAATCGAACTTCAGTTGTTGTGTGTTCGCCGAGTTGGGTAACTTGATTGCAAGCGTTTCGCCACTTATCCAGGTGACATTGTTGGTGCAGGATTGATAGCAGTCAGGTAGCAGAAGTTGGGAGAAGGCAAACCCAATGGAACCTACAGCGAAGATTTACACCCGTCTCGTGACTGACAGACATATCCTGTTGGAACCGCAGAAGATGTAAACGTTGGAAGGCCACACGGGCTTTGCTGATACGTGTGGAAACTGCATCAGTGAGGTGGCCGTCAACGGTGACATGATTAGCGAAATAAGTGAACCGTTGGACCACTTCGAGTGTACGTCCAGCAATAGCCAGAATCAGCAGCGTGTCGACCCGAGGTTGTAATAGTTGACAATGTATAGGCCTTAAGTCAGTAATTATGAGACAAACTGGAGCGTTAGCGAGGTAATATTTGTGGGGGTTTCCACGTGAAGGTAGATATGCAATACATTTTTAAGGGTTGGCACAATAAAGGTGGCAAATGTTTACAGTCACACACTGTTGTGGTCTCTAACCTCAGAGAAAAAGCATAAGTAGTCAGTGTTATACATCGCAGTGTTATACATCCAGTAACAATACAGAGGAGTAAGGTGGGCTTTCGGAACGAAGATAAATCTCTGCTGGCTCCGAGCGGGCGTATGCTCAACACACATCATCACCAGTGCAGTGGTAAGTGATCCATCGTGGCGGAAGCATAGAGTCATGAGAACACCGAGAGACACAACATGACAACTTAGGTCGTAGACGTGAATTTCAGCGTCATTAGGAGATCATCTGCTGCTCAGCATTGGGTAGGCCGTTCATAAGAGGGTCAATATTATTCTCTGTATGGCGATAAATTGCAAGTGAGTGGGGAATAAAACGAGCCACATCATAACAAGTACTCGGCCAAGTACATCATCGCGGTCACGTACAACTCAGCGGCGAAAGCAGCTAACTGTTAACTACGTGATAGGGACCCGAATCCCGATGGATTCGAGCGGAATGAACACCGTGGGTAAATCCCAGTAAGATGAAATGCCGTCCAGCGACACGCCGGACTTCTGATGACTCATTCCCTGAGTCGAGATATACCGAAGTTTGCTGTAATCACAGATCATTCTAAAGGGTCTTTCAACTATAGACTAGCAAAAGGTTCATTTCGAACTGTTTCCTCGACGGGCACAACGGTAGGACAAACACATTCAGTGAGATGAAGGACGAGGTACTCGCTGGTCATTATGTGGCGGTGGCATATAAGCCGAAGGCGAATAAAAGTCGGTATTATCACTGCTGCGTGGCGTAAACCAATCTCAGCCAATCCTGCAGAATCAGCAGCAGCAGCGGTAGAGTGGCCGGATGGTGTCGTTCCGACAGAATGAGACATCGCGCGCACTCTCTCCAGCAGCTTCGGTATAGTGTAATTAGCCGAAATGGACGCAGCTGCAAGACTGGAATCACTAAAGGAGCATTCTGCAAGCCCCGAAAATGAAGTAGCAGGTCGGATGATGTTAGAAAGTTCAGAGGTTGGAGACAATAAGCCCGAGAGTGATACCAAATCATTGAACAGAAGCAGAGGGAAGGAGAGCCCAAAAAGTACCGTAAATCCTTAGAATGTGATTTCAATGGGGGCGTGAAAGAAGATTAAGTTGGCAGAGTTGGTTGACTACAAGGTGGTAAGAAGGTGACGAGGGTATTCCACCTGGTTCATAGAACTATGCTTCTATATTGGGGCGCGGGAATGTGGTTGTATGTCGCATAGAACAGCTGACGATGGCAATCTCTATGTATACCGGACACAAGGTAAACCACAGCGCTGGATATATATGTAGTAAGGACAAATATCCACACCTTAAGGCATCACGAGGTGAGACAGCTAGCACTCAAGTATGGTCCCTGAAATATTTCGAACAGAGAGCGTAGCCGTCCAATGGATGCTACGCAGTATAGTACAAATAAGCTCATGTGAACTGGTGTCCCATTAAAATGAGGATAGATGAGTGGCATACTGCATAAACTTACCGCTGAAATGAGCTATATGAATTCTCGTAAACCACAGATCCAGATCCGCCCACACCTGTTGAAGATTGTTTCATTATCAACATCGGGTCGCTATGCTCCGAGTGCATTTGGGCACAGTTCGAAGAGTTTGCAGCGAGGAGACCAGCTCTGGTCAGGTCGTTTAGTGGCAGTGCGATAGTGCCACCCGCGGTTCCACCAGATACGTTGATAGGAAGCCGTTGATAGACGGGTTGTGGTTGGTTTTGTTGCTGCTGTTGCTGTTGTTGTTGTTGGGCGGAGAGTAGGGCAGAAGAGAGGAGATACGGTGAAAGTGGGGATGTTTGGGAACCGAGCATATCACTGGGGCGGCCGAGGGTGCCACCAACACCACCACCACCAGTGCTCAGACCGTATTGACTTGATTGCAAAGCCTCCGAACTGAAATCCGGATGGAGCAGGCCGGCAGCAAGGAGGTGCTGCTGCTGTTGTAGCAGAAGAGCAGCCGCCGCAGTTTGCTGTTGTTGTTGTTGCTGTTGTTGCTGTTGTTGTTGGTGATGCAGCTGCAACAAATGCGAGGCCTCTGGATTGGCTGTGGAGGGGAATGACACCAATTTGGGAGAATGGTCAGGTTGAATAGAGCAGAAAAGAGCGAAGAAATATGGATGCAAAACGGGATAACTTGAGGGTAACAATGATGAACAGTGAAAAGTGAGATGTTTGAAGGAGATTTGCCACGTGCACATTCAGTGGGACCGTAACTGCACATTTGAAAAAGCAGCACTGGGTGGTCGTTGCATTCATTCTGGAATCGTCAGTAGTGCGGATGCAAACTGTTCCCTGTAGGGCTAGAACCCACAAGTCGATTGTGACCAATCTGACCAAAGTGCTCATATTGTCATAAATTAATTGGTGGCCCAAATTTGGTAAGTTCGTCGCTCAGTGATGGGTATACCCTGTTTTTCGCACCGTATGCAAGTCATTGGATAAGGAGTGGCTCAATATCACAACTAGTAACTTAGTCACGTCGGTTGTTACCGTCTCCCGCTAGCCAAGTGGTCTTCATATTAGATTGGTAAGATCCGATTTCCAGGTTCTAACCGTAAAAGGGTCAGACAGAGTGGGCACTGCTGAACATTCCCGAAAGAAAGAAACGGCCGGGAGTGCCATGCCTGTCTGACTGAGGCCACCGTACACTCTGAAGTGGCTTGTGGTGTTAGAGTACAAGGCAGATGGAATAGTTAATCAGCTACTCATTGCACAATTGGAGAAGCAGTGGACGGCCGTTTCTTCCTTTCTAGAATCGTCAGCAATGCGCATTCTATCTGTGTTCCCTATGGGGTTATAATTCGAGACCATTCTCTCATGAGTCCACCATTAAGACCATGAAGTTGTGATTTATCTCCTGCGAAAACTTAATCTAAATCCTTCTATCCACTATTCTCTCACAAATGACAAAGTTTTCAGCGGCGTTAGTGAAGAGGTTATCTATGACACAATTGGAAATGTGTGGAACATTCTTTCATTATGCTACACCGTTGAGCAGCCCACACCTAAAATTGAAAGCATCATGAACCGGTAGAAGAAAATCGGTTAAGTTCTATCCGCTATTGAAAGCGTTATGAGAAAAACAGAATGTTTACGGAGAACGAGCGTGGGACAGGTGTGGAGTAATGAGGCCATCAGCAGTTGCTAGCGCACGGGCGTGTGAACCATCCCGTTAGAGGCGACAGATTTGCTAATGGCGAGATGAACAGCGCTGGTTACCGATGCGGGCGCAACGTTGCAACCGGAGCCCAGGATGACTGTCTCACAGGTGTAATATGTTTCAATTCGCTGTGTGTGTGTGTGTGTGTGTGTGTGTGTGGGTGTGTGAGATAGCCAGTGGATGAACATTTCATTGCAATAGCAGAGGAAACAGAAATGATACACCGGGGGATTTGTGGATGGGATAGTACCACTCAACAGTCAGGGGCGGGACACCGGGGATCATTGAGGCGTAAAAAGGAGACCGGAGGAAGCGGGGAGGGGTGCGAAAGGGCAGTGACTATGCGGCTGTACGCGTTTGTGAGCCGTAGGACACATATCTATTCAGATGAATGACTGCAAACAAGTTGGCCTCACGCGAGAAAAGAGAGAGTGAGTGAGAGTTGATCAAACATGGTGGGTACATAACCCATCCGAATGAGTGAAAGTGAATTCACAGTCAGTGTTAGTTGCCAGTCTTTGAACAAGACAAAGTTGCCCCAAGACAGCGTAGCAGAATAACAACAAGGAAGTGGTCCATTGCTCAAGGGGATCGTGTGAGAGGATTAACATGAGTCAAAGAATGAGTCAGCGCGCCATTGAAAGACGACGTAAATAACTTGGTATGGGTACGAACAAAAAGTTATTCAGAGATGACAATGGTGACGAACAGAGCTGTTTCGATATTTCATTGAAAGAACGCACTTGTGGGTTCCAGAATACGAAGCGAGGGAAACATCCCCGATTACGAGATAAAAAGACCTGTACGTTTGGTAGATGAAATCTAGTAAGTATGCCCCGACGGATCCTCGTGGAAAAGTAGCAAACGGGAAAGGGTTGGTAGTAAATCGTGCGTGGGAAAAAGGCGTCAAAGCTCACATTCTGGCCTGCAGCGGTTCCCAGTAACAAGAAGAGTATCATCAAGAACCGTTTTTGTAGACATAGTGGGGTTTTCCTAATGGAATAGCAATGTCCCTAGCTCCAGTGGGCCTGCTTTAATCAGGTCTTTGTGACGAGATATAGTGGGTGAGACGCCGTGGCAGCGGATACGAGGTAATGAGTTTTAGCCGGGTGTACAGCTACAGCCGTCGAGCAAATTCAAGTCAGACCTTCACTAAGCCGCTTCAGGTGCGACGCTCCTTGATGCGTCCAGAAGTGAGTCGTGTGTGGTTCGACCTAGTACAGAAACAAGCGAGTTGGTACACACAAAAAGAGGCCACTTTCAGCCGGCTGGAAAGCATACAGCAGACTGGGTGTTTGCCGTCGTCCAGTGCTAGACAGTAGATACGGTAAATTTAGTTCCCCGATAAGGATACACGCTACGGCATCCAATGGAATGGCAGAGACGGGTAGAGAAACTTTCCCGTCACGTGCAGCTCAGTAGGGATTGATCTGACCTCTGCGCTTTTTCTATCAATGACTCAGAATAGCCCCATTGGTAAACGTCTTCGGATGAACGAGGATCGTAGTTCGAGAGTGTCACACAAACAGACATTAGTGTTTCAAGTAAGGATGGAGTGAGCAAAGTTTCGGTTCTGCTACCACGGCCTAGTCCATGTTGGATTTTGATGGATTCTGCATTTAAAAGGTCTATCCTTCTGCTGAAGTAGACAAGCACATTAAAACGGAGTCCGTGAGATAACCCTATATCTGTTTACAAGAAAGGTACAGAATGAAAAGATTGCCTTAAGGAACTGATGGCATAGGCGACAGCCATGCCCACAGCCGATAAGATCAAGTATCGCTTCCAAATCCGTTGCGCAGCTGGGATGGAGATTTGCTCAGCTATCGGGGTTCGATTAGCGCAGCTAATCGAAAGCACCAGCCACCAACCCGATAAGCCTGCGCTCGAATCCGGTGGGCAGCAGTTAACAAGTCTGAGCAACCTCGGATGACAATTAGTAAATGACCAATGGCGAAGGTTGATGGGGTTTTGGAGCACTCTGTGTGTTTGCATATCAATATCCAATTTCGCTTTGAACTGCGATCGATTTTGCATCAGGTTTTGATCATTTCGAGCAGTAAGAGTGTAGGTGCAATTAAAAATTAGTAAGCACTGCTCGCACTCAGCAATGACTACCTGAACGTTTCATATTTAACCGCACTCATCAGGAAAATATAACTGGAGCTGGAACACGAATCAGGGTGGCAGCATTTGACGGCAGACGGTTTCACTGTTAAAACACCGAGCTCAACAGTCAATGCTTGCGCACATACATGGTAAAAGCGAAACACTGAACCGTTGACCAGTGCTAGGATATGCGTGGTTCGTGGAGCCCGCAAATTCCACGCACAGGATTAGGGTCGCATCTCCGGTTATCTCACGTTGATGAATCGAAACGACAAAGATGCCGATCGCGGGTTGCGGCGATGATGCCGAGTAAGGCTCATCGATTTGCCACAGACATGACCCCAGTGACTGGAATGACCGAGGCTTACTATATAACGAATTGCGTTCCAGATTGAGATCACGTGTCGAAATTCGATATATATAACGTGGAATGAAATGTTGTGATAGGTGTTGCCTGTGGATCTCGATGACATAATGATCATATATATGAGAGTGAGCCAAAAAGTGAAGCCATCTTCTTCAGGACAAGTATAGTTATCAACACACGAACACATTTATCATACATAAAAATGAAGCTGGTCCTTTGTGGATCACATCACCACTTCTCAAAATAGTTACCGTTTCTCTCAATAGCAATGTTCCATTTTCGAATGACTGTTCTTTGAGCCACTACTACACTACAGTTTTCACTTCTTGTCACTGGAATAATGTTTGCCTCTCAAACCTACTTTCATGGGAGACCAAAGCGATGCCAGTCTGAAGACGCTAGATCTGTTGCCTATGGAGGATGTGGTAAACTTGTCCACCCGAATGAGGCGATTGTCTCCCACGTCCAGATGCTTATGTATGATTGAGCATTGTCGTGCACAAGAATGACCTTGTCGCTTGGTAAGTTGGACCTCGCTCGCCAGATTTTTGCTCGGTGATTCGTCAAGGTCGCAATGTAGAGCTCAGAGTTTATTGTTTCGCCTCTTGGCAAAAATTGATTTATTTCTGTACCCAGAGGTGAGTACCTATCGGAGGGCGGATGAACAACCTTGCTGATCAACGCCTTCTGTGTGCACTGCTACCGAACACAAAGAAGACGAATGAGGCACCTAGTTGTCAACGGTCTTCGTATTCACAAACCTGCGCTGCCTTGCTGCTCAGGTCTTTAAGACCAACGGCTCGGGCTGAGATCCCTTAAATCAACCCTCCTCCTCGGCCTGAGTTACCGGGAAGCTCATTGCCCACGCAACACATGAACCCTGTTAACCTTTTCGCCGACAGCTTTTTTTCCTCCTTTTTGTTGTTTGTACTCATTTGTTTTGGCACTCTGCCATTTGTTTGTTGGCCAAGTGTTAACTAGATACTTAAATACATATCTAGCAGAAAATTGATTAAAATGACACCTTCAGTATCCCAAAAGACAGTAACATTAGAACAAGGGAGACAGTCGCCTCATTCTCCATACACACCAGATCTAGCGTCGTCAGACTGACATCTCTTTGGCCCCCATGAAAGAGGGTTTGAGAGGCAAACATTGTTCCAGTGACGAGGAAGTGCAAATTGCAGTGTAGTAGTGGCTCAAAGAACAGTCACTCGAAAATGGAACATTGCTATTGAGAGAAACGGTAACTATTTTGAGAAGGGGGTGTGATCCACAAAGGACCGGCTTCATATTTATGTATGATAAACGTGTTCGTGTGTTGATAACTATACTTATCCTAAAGAAGATGGCTCTACTTCTTGTCTCATCCTCGTATATACAGTGCCTCATGCTGTTGATGTTGCATACAT